CAGTTCCCCTTCCGGATCCATCGTTGCAGGTCACCCAGTCCGTTCTGACACCTAGCAACCCCAGAGGACAGAGGAGGGTTTCCAAGGCTGCAAATCTTTCTGGGAGCAGACTGCCAGGTCTCTTTCTGCTGTGGAACCGCTGGGTGGGCTCTTGCAACCAAGGGCTTAACCGTTGCCTCACCAGGGTTCTTTCCCCAGGTCTACACCCAAGAGAACTGAAAGCATACATCCCCACGGAAACTTACCCCCAGAGGTTTGTAATGGCATTACTCGTGGTGGCCAAAAAGTGGAAGCACGCTAATGCCCCTCGACAGATAAATCCATGAATAAATGTGGTCTGTATGATGGGATATTACTCAGCTCTTTGTAAAAGACTGATTCATGCTACATCACAGGTGAACCTTACAAACGTTACATTGAGGGAAAGAATCCAGACACACAAGGCTATGGAGCGTGATGTCGTTCAGGTGAAGTGACCGGGAGAAGGGAATGCACAGGAACATTACACTAGATACTCTGTCCTCTAGGTATGCTATTGTGGTGGCAGAGAAGCTTGCTGGGGCGGGTCACGGCATGGCTGCTGTGGATTCGTGTCTCATTGTGGAGTGATGGAATGGAATTCCACATGGAGATGGTTACACCACCTGGTGAACATGTTAGAACACATGGACATGTACCCTGTGAAAGGGTGCATTTTTTACTATGTGAACTATGTCTCACTTTTCAAAAAACCCCTGAGTCAGTAGTAGGGGAAGGTCAGCAACCCAGGGGACCATGGGGAGAGGGGTGAAGGACTGTCGTATGCCCAGAGATCTTGGAAGCATGGATGTCTCCGTGAAGTCTGTGCTATGTGTTCAGCGTAGCGGGTGCCCCAGGTAGGACGCGCTGTCCTCGGGGAGCTGGAGTGTCAGAGCCGACATCTGACACAGCTTTGAATGATACGAGACGATGGGGTGATGAGGATGATGACAGCCAAAACTGGGGGTGTAGCTAGCTTCCAGAGGCCTTCTAAGCAGCAGCAATAGAGCAGGGGCGTTCCGATGCCCAGCGTGTCACTGTTGGTTCCTCTGCCACCACTTCTGAGTGCCTCCTTAGGACCGAGGGGTGGCTCTTCCCGCTTACCTTCTTCCCAGCTAAAAGCCGGCGTCTGGCTGCAATGGCTTGGCTGTCACCAGTCATCCTGGGAGCTGCCGACGGGGAGAGGGAGTTCATTTCTGGGTTTGAGTGTCACTTGTGTTGGTTGCAGGTCGGGCTGGTGTACATGTTCAACCTCATCGTGGGCACGGGCGCACTCACCATGCCCAAGGCCTTTGCCACCGCTGGTTGGCTCGTCAGCCTCATCCTGCTGGTGTTCCTGGGTTTCATGAGGTAAGAGACCATGGGAAGCCGAGCCGCGGGGGCCGGCTGGGAAGTCTGAGCATCTTGTAAGGAACGTGCAGGTGCTTGTGGGTGGAGGAGAGTGCATGGTGAGCCCTGGACTCGGTTGCCTGGAGAAGACAGATACAAGGCCTCCTGATGTCTGGTGCTGACGGAGCAGTTGTCCAACGTGGTTAAAATGAGCCCAGGCTTGGGAATGTCTCATGTGGTGCTTCTTCCCCACTCCGTTCACCTCCCCTGTGTTACACCTGGAGCTCTGGTGGTGCAGTGCCTAAGGCACTTGACTGCTAACCAGACCAGAAGGCTGGCGGTTCAAACCCACCAGCCACTCCTCAGAAGGAAGGTTGGCCAATCTACTTCTGTAGTGATACCACCTCAGAAACCCAAGGAGGGGTCGCTATGAGTCGGATCCGACTCAAAGGCAGTGAGTCTGGTTTTTGGTTTTTGTGTTACTCCTTACTGATGGCACCATGGGTGGTTGTTCTTTGAGAAAACACCCAGGAGCCCCAGAGAGAACCTGACTGCATTTAAGGTGCTGTGGGGACCATTATGGAAGTTAGAATTTGCTTCAGGTAGTTCACAGCATTAATGGATGAGCACGAACATGTGGGCATACACACACGTGTGTGCACATGTGAGCACACGCATGGGCAGGCGTCCCTCTCACCTTGCTGCTCTGTACCTAGCAGCATAGAAGCTGCCAGGTACAAAGGTGTGTGAGTGACGCACAAAAGCCATATTCTCCCTGAGGCTCTGCTCAGGTTCCACGCGTAGGTCCGGAGTCATTCTGTGCGGCCTCGCGCCATCTTCAGGGTCGTTGGGATGCCCACGTGCAGTGTTGCGGCATTGTGTCTCGTGAGTGCCTTCCAACCTCGGCACTCATCTTCCAGCGTGGTGTCAGGAGGGCTCTGTGGTTACCATGGGGCTTTCATCAGCTGGTTTCCAGGAGGTCACCAGTCCTTTCTTCCCAGTCTGTCTTGGTCTGGTAGCTCTGCGAGACCTGTCCACCACGGGGGACCCTGGTATTTGAAATACTGTTGGCGTAGCTCCCAGCAGAGGAGCCGTGGGGGTGCGATGGTGAAGTGCTCAGCTGCAAACCGAAAGGTTGGTGGTTTGAACCCACCCAGTGGCTCTGTGGGAGAAAAGCCCTGGCAGTCTGTTCCATAGATCACAGCCTAGGAAACTCTGTGGAGCGGTTCTGCCGTGTCACATGGGGTCGCTGTGAGTCGAAAGTGACTCAGCGATGACAACAACTATCGAAAGAGTAAAACAGAGCGCACGTATTAAAGCAAATCAGGACACGGAAGAGGCTGAGTGAAGACCCACACTTTCAGCTTCTTTATGTATTTTCTTTTCAGGGATTTAGGGCCAACCTTGGGGTACTTTTGGCCCATTATGTACTAGGAACCCTGGCAGCCAGGAGCCCCAGAAATCCTTGTCCTTACATGGCTCTCCTGTCCCCTTTAAGAGGAGCCTTGGTGATGCAGCAGTTAAAACACTCAGCTGCTAACCGAAAGTTTGGTGGTTTGAACCCACCAGCCACTCCA